CTTCCTCTCCAAGAAAGTGCACCAAAAAAAACCATCATCAATCTCTGAAACATTGCAGAGGCTGTGCTTCTTCGACACTAAATGCGGTTTTGTGGATGTCTTTCTCCTCTATCTCGATTTGGTGGAATATATATCATTACCTATCAGACCGTCAAAAATTTTATGAAAACTTTTTATATAGAATTCCAGTGTTTAATCCTTTTCAGTGTCGCTAAATTCTTCGAACATAGGTACTATGGCTTTTTCGCCAACGGAAATTTGGTGTTGAAGTGTTTTGATTAGAAGTGGGCTGGTTGAATGAATACTTTTGGAATCGCAGATCCCCGGATTTAAAATTGAATTTGTGGCGCCTGTGTCTATTAAAATTTTCAGCCACTTCTATTTTTGCTATGTCCATAGCTTCTGATTGGTTTCTAGAATTTGGTCCTTGGAGTGATGAATTTTGGTTGGGGATTTGTTGGTTTTATTTGTTGGTATGGGCGGTGTTGTTGGGATGGTTGCTAGTATGGTCAGTGTTGTTGAAATGGTTGTAGGTATGGTCGGTGCTGTTGGGATGGCTGATGGTATAGTCGGAGTTGTTGGTATAGTTCTTGGTATGGTCGGTGTTGTTGGAAATCTCTTCGATTATTTTAGGGCATTGGTTGGGAGTTTTGACTGGTGAATGGTTGTTGGGGATGCCTGTGTAGTGTTATATTCCTACTATCTCTCCTATCGTATTGTCTATTATTTCTGTAGTTGTTATTTATATTACCCGATTGAGTTTTAAACTCCGGGCCGTTACCATTATTATCCCCTACATGTGCGTATCCCGCCTGGAATAGTATGTCCATAGCCTGTTCCAAATCTCCTGGGTCTCTACAGAATAGGATAGACTTCATTGGTTCAGGGATCTTGTCTTTAAAGATATTAAGGGCAGTGCGCTTGTTGTTCATCGCGCACTCTCTAGTTCCCTCGGTGTTCCCTAAAATAACAAAATCTATCTCCAAAATTATTCTGTAGTATGATTTTAATCTCTGCCCATGAAGTCGCGTGGCAGTTTATTTCTATCGCCTGTCTTGCCCTTCCTTTGAGTTTTGACTTTATTATGTCCGAAAAAAGTAGTTGGGACAGTTCAACGTATGTTTGTAGGTGTGGGTGTACTTGGTCAATGAGTTTGGTGAATGTTTGTAGGTCTCTTGAGTCGCCGCAGAATTCAGGTAAAACTGTTAAGTATTTCGGAGGGCTAATAGTTTATTTGTTCAATAAATTTTCAGCCTGTAGTGCCATTTTTAAGAAAAAATATATGAAAAGGAAAAAATGTCTCTTACACACCAATGCGTTTTTCTCTTTTATTTTTATGCCTTAACTAGTTTTTTTTTTGCTTTAGTTTTTATCAATGTTATATTATGTATGGGTTCTTGCAAATTTTTGATTTCTTGTTCTCCTGGCGTATACAGTAGTTTCCTTTTAATTTCTGATTTTATGCTTATCTCTTGAGTTACATACATTTAATAATAATATTAATTGATATAAAATAATATAAATAATATAGTTAATCTTACTTTCTGATGCTATATTATATGTTGCTGTCTGTGTGGATATGTGTTTCCACTGTTGGATTTAAAGTTGATTAGGATAAAAGGTTGTCACTTTGTTCCGTTGTGTTGTTTTTTTTTCTTCTTTTATATTTTGTGTGTGTCCTTAAAATTTTTAAAGGATCCACAATCTTATGAAGTCTAAAAGTTTTGCACTTTAATTTTTTAAAGGACTCGTTCTTCTATTTTATGAAGCTCAAATTTCACATAAGTTTCACAAAAATTTTGCACTTTAATGTTTTAAAGGACTCGTTCTTTAATCTTATAAAGTTCAAATGTCACAAAATTTTTGTACATCCTTTAATATTTTAAAGGGTCTGTTCGACGAAGTTCGAATGTTACAAAATTTTTTCGTATGTCCTTTAATCTTTTAAACGATCCTTTCTTATTGTATCTTACGCGTTACGGATATTAAAATATCCAATATCCTTTCTCATGTAACTCGAATTTAAATGATTTACACACAAGGATACACGGGTATCCTACCGACTGCCCCACTTTTTTCCTCGTAACGAGAAACAACTAAAAATAAAGCAACTCGATTTAAGGTTCGATCAATAATTGCGCTTTATTCTTTATTTTCCACCATCTTATATGCTAGTATTTGGAATTAATGCACTTGGGCGAATAAATAATAATGTTATTAAAATAATTTGGAATTAATGATACATTTTTGTAAACCGTTGCATTTTCGTTAGCGGAAATGCACTTGGACAACAATTCTTTGTAAAATACAATTTGTAAATATATTTTGAAATTCTTTGCGAAAATACAATTAACAAAGTTATAAGTATACATATTAAAATTCTTAAGATTTAAGATACTTTGCAGTGAATAGAAAAATAAATAAAAAACAATTCGTAATATTCTTAATGAGTTCAAATAGCGTGTGTATGCGTGTATGTTCAAAATAACGTAAAGGGAATAGAGGGGGATATTTTTTGTTTTGATACTTTGACTTTGAAAATTAATACTTAAGGGTTTTATACTCTTTATAACAATTATGTATACTATATATTTTCATATGATGCCTAACATAAATATAAATTCAAAAATATTATGAGAGTATTCCACTTTTTTTTTTTTTTTCTTGGACTCCCAACGGTTTGGATTCGATACACTACGTCGTTTAGTCCTTTGATTATCTTGTATGGACCTTCCCAATTACATTGAAGTTTTGGGGACAAACCCCTCTTCCTTTGTGGAATGTACAGCAACACCAAATCTCCATGTTGAAAACCTTCGGAGTTCATTGCCTTGTCATACCTGGCCTACATTTTGTCTCTCATAATTTGAGTTCGCTGTCTCACAAGAGCATGTACCTCTCTTAGCTCTTCCTCGAGATCGGTAGACGTTATCTTTCCAATTCTTCTCGCATCGCCAGTTATTCCAAATTTTAAATCGCTGGCCTACCGCAGTTCACTACCAAACAGTATCCTCGCGGGTGTTTGGCCTGTAGTAACATGCACGGCGGACCGACATCCCATCGAGAAAAGCGTTATATGTACATCCCAATTATCCTTATGCTTGTCCACTACTTTCCGCAAGTGATCTTCCAGGGTCCGGTTGAATCGCTCTACCATACCATCTGATTGAGGATGTAGGGCTGTCGTTCGGGTTTTTCGAATATTAAGTATTCGGCATATCTCCTGGAACACTGCCGATTCAAAGTTTCTTCCCTGGTCTGAGTGCAATTCCATAGCCGCACCGTATCTGGTAACCCAATTGTTATTGAATGCATCCGCAACTGTTTTTGCTTCTTGGTTTGGGATTGGGTAAACTTCAGGCCATTTACAGAAGTAGTCCATAACCACAAGAACGTATAGTGAATGAACCGGCTACATCCATGGCATCTCGCTCAAATGGTGCCCCTGCGTTATACTGCTTCATCTGCCCATGAGTTCGGGACTTTGGGCCCTTAGCTGCTATGCATTTGGTGCAATTAGCAATCCACTCCGCGACCGATTGCCGACAGCCAACCCAATAGAACCGCTGCTTGATCTTTTCCAGCGTTTTTGTAATGCCTAGGTGCCCTCCACTAGGACCGTAATGGATTTCCTTAAGAACATCCGGAATTCTTAACTTCGGAACTACTATTAGCTTCCGGGAGCACTGGCCATCTTCATTTTCCCACACTCTACGCAAACAGCCGGATAAACTGTTCCATTGTGCCCAGTATGCCTTAGCGATAGGACTTTCCTCAGCCATTTGTTCCTTACTTGTCTTGCTGACATTTCCTTAAGTTATTTACCTCCCATTCTTCTGCTTGCGTAACTTTCATTTGCCGGACGTCTATTATGTCTTTTTTACCCTCAGCTTTTGAGCAATGTTTACATTCTATACTACATGGTCGACGGGACATAGTGTCAGCATTTCCGTGCGTAATCCCCCTTCGGGTGCTTGATTATGAAGTCATACCTTTGCAGCCTCTCAATCTTCCGTGCTAGCTGCCCTTCGGGATTCTTAAACTGTAGTAGCCACTTCAGCGCTGCATGATCTGTTCTAACTCGGAAATGTTGACCACACAGATAGACTCCTTCACAGAATCATCAGCTTCTTCGTTGTCAATGTCCTTCAATGATACATCTTCATCATCACGATGGAACTCGTATCGGTTCAAGTCGATGCCTTCAACTTCCATTGCTTCTCGCAGTCTCGATTGCCTTATTTTCAGTTTTCGATAATCTTCGCTTTGCCAACTCCCTCTTTAGAGGAGGTATCATCAAATCCTGAATCTTTACCATTTTGCAAATATTATCCTTTGGGATTTATTTAGCCATCCCACTTCTGAGACCACTTCTGAGACGATTTTGCTGAATCAACCTCGATGATTTTCTGAATCCTTCGGGTAGGATCTCTGGATTGCTAAATCGCCACTTTATGCACTTTCGTTATAAAGAATTTATCTAATGTCCTTTATTTACACAGTAAATCACAATTCAATTACAATGCGCTCCACCAGTTACAATCACTTGTATTCAACTTTCACCATTTACTTTACTTAAATGTAATCTCCAACGCGTTTTCTTTACGACTCAATATAACCAAAGAGTTTATTCCGCCATACTCTATACTTGGCTGCTGAGTGTTGCCCTTATACAGCAGTCGGCTGCTCGTAGCCGAAAATGTAGAATAATCGAGCTGTTCGCTATCGAAGGTTCTCGTTTTATCGTTCTAGAATGTACTAGTTATCGGCTTCTCTCTTTCATCTGACATTCGCCTCGCATTTTCGCAACAAAATGTATATCATTTTCCGCCTTTAATGAAACCCTGCTTGGTGTTGGCTCGGAGATGTTCTCCCCGATTCTGGCTTCTACTTTGCTTCTGGAGGTTTGCACCGCCATATTACCTCCTGCTGTCGTATTATTAGCAGGACTTTGGAAGAATCGTTTTGGCTGTATATAAAGCAATATGCATTGTGTAAAAATGTCAGAGCGGATAGAACCTTCGTCGTGGGAGTTAGCTAATGTCTTTCGTACCCAGTGGAATCTTCCGAACTGGGTTGGTGCTCTCGATGGCAAACACATAGCTATCAAAGCTCCACCAAATTTTGGAAGTAGTTTTTACAATAACAAAGCAAAATTAAAAGTACATATATTCATAATTTTAAGACTATGGAATAATAAATAATAAAAATTGTATCGGGATTTCATTCCATTGTGTTAATGGCTACATGTGGTGCCAATTATTAATTTATATATTTGGATGTTTGTGCTTACGGAAGCGAAGGGGACTCAAATATTATAAAGAATTCCAAATTTGGTACCAGCATTCTTTATGACATCTGCCAATTTCCAGCCGAGGGCTTTATCAATGAGAAAAAAGTACCATATTTTATTGTAGGAGACGACGCAATTGCACTGTGCAAATGCATAATAAAACCTTACAACACTAAGCCCCTTTCCAGGAAAGAAAAAATATTCACTTACCGTTTGAGTTGGGCAAGATTGCGTATTGAAAACGCATTGGGAATTTTGATTGGCAAATAGCTTTGTCTAAGAAAGATTTTATTTTGTCACCCGGATAGGGCACAATCGGTTGCTTCAGCTTGCTGCATGCTCCATTGTTCTCTGGGTACGAAGGCACTGACAGAATTTGGGTAGCAGGAGAATTGGAAACATTTGAGCAACTAGAAAGCACTCTAATAAATTAAGTACCTACTGGGGAAGAGCCATAAGTTAATGGCAAATATATACGAAATGTCACAAAATAATAGGTGAATTTTGAAACTGAATCAGTTCCCTGGCATTTCTTATATTTCATATTTAATTCATTTCATATTTCACTTTGATTTATTTTATAACACACTTATTATAGAAATTGCACAATTAAAAATTAATACAAACTATTTTATTGATTATTTTTTCCAGTCAGCTACTCGTATCGTTCGCATTCTTCCATTTTCTGCAAAAGTAGGCTATTAATTGTTAAAGACATCTCGTCACCAATTGAGAGTGGAAGCTATTTCAACAGCAAATCGAATGGGAAAAATGGTTGTGCATAAGATGAGTTACTCTTTGTTTACCCATAGTTTACCAGCGCGGCCGAAGGCTTGTAGTAAGAGTTGCGGTGTGAACCTACACATGTTCACATTATAAGACAAAAATAAAACTTTTTCATTTAAATATCCTACATGCAGAAGGATATGGAACATATGTATATGCTTACATATTCATATTGCGAATCAAATTCTGGCATCTCCGCTACACCTACTGGAGACGACAACTGAATATCTTCGAAGTTTGCTAGAGATGTAAAAGTTCTGCGAGAAGATCGTATTAATGAAATGGTAAAAAGCAAATTAAATAATCTTTCTTTCATTTATTGGACAGATTTGGCCACTCTTTTACTCCATTTATGACAATCCGCTTTTCATCGGCCATGAAATTGTAGACTAGTTTTTGCCTCTTCAACGTTTTGTCTAGTCTATTCCTAAAATGTTTAAATATAATAAAATGTACAACGTAAATTGTTGCTACAGTTTGTGATGCTTTATTTTATTATAAATTTTTGACAACAACGACCGACGTCAGAGAGCAAATTTTTTGCGCTAATTATTTTTTTAAACATACTGCTTTTTTTAGGTGTTTCATATTTTAGCCATTTCACCAAAAAGAAACTTAATTCCAATATGTCAGAGTTTGCAAAGTATTGTTGCAAGGCAAATTTATTGAACTGCATTGTAATGATGCGATTACGAAACCAGTATTTTGACGTTTTAGAATTCGCCCTTGTTTTCTTCATTGAAATACGTTTGTTTATTTTTGCGGCTACTGATATTACAAATATTAGGTCTTGGCAATCCTTCAAAAGTTTTCCAAGATATATATCTAACCAAAACGTCATTACAGACGCTTTGGAGCCAACTAGTAGAAAAGGACTCTCACTGGCCTTCTGACAGCAGTTCGCAATTTCCCTTATTAAAACATCGAATATATCCCATGCCCCAGGCTTGTCTGAAAAAATATGAGAAATTAGTTATTCTCACATGAAATCCTCCACCCTTACGAATATGTCCGGAAAGATTTTCAAATTCGTGCGGTTTTCTAAGAGAGGGCTCTACTAGTATTATTTCGCGTCTTGTTTATCTTCTTCATTACTTTAACATGAAGAAAAGTGCTACCTAAAGCAATCGTATTTCACTTGACCATGGATATGGTGGCCGAACGAACTTGCCAAAAGTGGTTTGCACGGTTTAAAAGTGTTCCCCGAATCAGAGGAAATGTTCAATCACCTGACTTTGCACACTTAGCTCTTCCCGATATCTTCTTTTTATGGGAGTCCCCTCCGATAAATAACTACTCGTTTGAGTCTGACTACTATTTGCCCATGATCTAACAGCATCAGGAATTCCTAAAGTTAAGCAGTATGGATGCTCTATAGGAATTACGGGACGAGGGGACTCTTGCAAAGTTGTTTCAACTTCAAAAGAAGTGTCAACTGAAGTGGAAACGCTTTCTACTTTCAATGAAGGAAGCCCGCCTAATTAGATATATTGCTCTATATATAGACCAAATATATTTATAAGTTTTTATAAATAATTTTTTAGTAAAAAATTTATTTAACATTCCTACATTTACTTCACGAATTATATAGACGAAGTTTATCTATATATATTTAAATGAGGATAAACTTTTTTTATAAATAAAATTTATCTAACAATTCTTGATTGTTTTAATATCGAAATTGTTATATTATTATATTAGTTATGAAGATAACAAAAAAAAATAAACAAAAAAAATTTATCAATGCACTGAAAGTTGTCGGTCAAAATGTTGTGACCACAAAACATAATTGATTTATATTTATGTGATTATATTTGGGTTTAGGTTCCCTGAAGAAGATGGTCTCGAAAGGCTTAGGAGGCAGAAAAAGAAATCAAATGCTTTTGCTCCTGCCTTAAGGGAGTAGATACAATTACACGGTCAATAATTACGTATAACTCAATCATTATAAAACTTTGTACACTCTGCGAAATATAGATGAAGTGTGAAATTTTTTTTTTTTCTTTTTTTGAAAAGAGGATGGCGGCTGTGCGCTGGGGTGAAGTCGACCTCCAAAAAAACGGGAACCAATCTGGATGTCATATTATTGATCTGTAGCAGCCCATAAAAAAATTTGTTTGCTTAAATATACATGTAATTTGTCGGTAAACCTTAAAAGTTAATAAAAAAATAATGATTCTGCGTTTGGTAGAAGTTTTTGTAAAAAAACGATAGTTTTCACTATATTTTCAGCCATTTTCGCATTAATAATTCAAAATTGCAACATAAAAATTCCAAATCATTTAGGTTTACAGACAAGTCTAAGGTATAAAGAAGAAACCCAAAAAATTTCAGCTAATTTGGACTAGTTTTGAGGAAAACGCGTTTAAAGTTTTGAAAACCTGATATGCGCTGAAAAATGAAGAAAAAACATATAAGGAGTTTGATTTTCGATCTGAAACTTTTTGGAGCGTATTCTACGGGAAATTTCCTAATTTTTTAGAGAAACAAAAAAATCTATTTTTTTGACCTTCTAATTGTATCTACCCCCTTAAAGTTCAATATATATTGCCTAACAATTACATATACTTGTACAGACCCAAAATACAAACCAAAAGCGTTTTAATTAATGCAATTTTATCAAATAAAGCTAAGCACACACCTACATTCTTTTTCATTATGTTATATATATTGATTAACGTTCATTTGGCTTATCTTTGGAAATGGATATAGGGGCAAACCCCAAACTCCTACTTGCGGCACACCTTCTGAATGGCATTTTTCAGTCTGAAAGCAAAATAGCAATTCGAAATTGCGATTTACATATGGATACTTGGATGTACTTACCAAATGTTAGAATTGATTAAAATTTACTGAAATAAAAACTAATATTAAAAAATTTTAATTATTTCCCTAACCCAATGTAAAACTTCCTGTTTTCATTGTTGCGGTAAATTTTGGTGAATTCTCTCAGGGTTGTAAGCGATAAAAAGTTTCTTTAAAATTTGTGATTTAATACATGCCTTAAATCTTACAATTATCATATTAAATATTAACCCTTATTCACGCGAGGTACCTTCTTCGAGTTCTTGCGAAATAAAGTCACTCGCGGATTCGATGTGATTTGTGTACAATGTTTTTATTCACAATTATATTTACACAGGCAAAGTCACTTTTGCATAAATGTTTGTTTTAATTAATTACAAAATATATATATATCTATTTTATTTCCTATTTATGTGTCTTATGACATTTATAATATGATATATAAATTTATCGTATTTGAAATACTGTCGCCCCGTGCGCGCTTGCTTTACGAATCTCGCTGGCTTGTTTGGCAAGCGCGGCTTATATAGGCCAAAGGCGCATTAGGGTGTGTTCAAAATATTAGGAAGGCGTCTTGTTTATCGCGCGCTTAAACATACTGGGCCACCCTGCACGAAGTGCTGAATTAAGCCTGTTGGAGGTGTTTGGGGGCCGTGTGCAGTATTGGTACCATCGGTGGTTCTTTGCGTTACTTCTGCTGCTGTTCCGTTCATCTTTTGGGCTTTGGCTTTGGCTTTGGATTGGAAGCCGTGATCCGATTTGGTTATCCATTTCCTGGCAAGAAAAAGTCGGAAGTGTAATGCAGCGGAATGTGCTTTTTCTTAATTTTTTGTATGTTAATATTTTGAAAATGCAGACATGAATGTGTGTCATGCTGCCGATAGGAGCCTGTTCTACGGGATTTGTAGAACTTATTTGTAATGCGTCCTTGTGAAACATCTGATCTAGGGGTGATCAGAGTATGCAATGAGCAGATCTTCTCATGACTTGAGTAGTGCGATTGCATGTTATTTCTGCTGACCGATTGGGAATTATGATCTGGGGTGATCATTACAGTTTTCTGTATATTTTGACTCGGAGAGGTCAAACTCGCATTTTTCTGCATGTCTTGACTCGGGGTGGTCAAGTGGACACTTTTTGTGTTTGTCTTGACACGGGGAAGTCAAGGGCACATTTCTTTTATTCCTTCAGTCAAACCCATGAGTAGGGCTTATATGCAAAAGAGTGTTATGCATCTTTTGGCAGTGCAGGCATGTATGTCGTGATGTACACCGTTTGAAGGTATGGTGCAACGCCAGACAATTTGTACAAATGTTATTTTCTTTGATGAATTTATACCGTTGTGTTATTGGTAATTTCTTAAATTGCTTGCAATGCTTGAGCGTTTGGGTTCTTTTGCATAATTTGCACGATTCGTGGCTATTCTGTGGAGAAAGAATAGGCTTATTTTTCTTATGCGAAGTAGGAGAATTCGCACGGCCACTCATCGTATCCACCATAAAAGGTTTTAGTGTCACATGGCGGAAGTTGGAGATATATTTCCGGTTGTTCAACTATTTTGGGTCTGGGTTCTATTTGAGAACTAGACATTGGTTGATTCACTGCACTAATTAATTTTAGTTGCTGTACAATTTTGTATTTGGTGTTTTCATAAGTATCAATGCTAAATTGATACTTTCCTTCCGCCAGCGCAAGAAAATTCGCGGGGAGGTCTTCTTTGTCTTTTTGGAATAAGACATCGTAAGCGTCTTGAACTTATTTGTACCAATCGTCAAGAGAATTATTTTTAATTTTCAGGAGATTTTCTGAAAACTCTTCTATGGGGGAAGAGTTAAATCTGGCACAATATCTCA